CAGCTTTCCTGCTCCTCGGCTGCCTGGGCTGCTGTGTTCATCCAGCTCCACACCTTGTTATCACTTAACTTCATTTGTGTTACCCGCAGCAGAATCTGCCTTCTGGTGATTCACCTGCTCAACTGTTAGAAAAAGTAGAACACGTGAAGACACTACTACTGAAATGTATTTGTTTCCTGCAAGTTCAGCATCTTTTTGAGATTAAAAGATGTCAGAACTGTTTAACTAGGAGCCACTGAAGGTTAGCAAGTGCATGCTTTGATTTGAGTCAAGACATGGGCAGCAGAGTTTTCGATAATCTCAAATATTTGAAGGTTAGAATGTGGGAACCCACTCGGGTGCATTGAAGTAGTTTAGTGGTAACAAAACAATGAATGAGGATTTTGAGCGGCTACTGAGCTAAGACAGGGTGAAGTCAGATCACATTTTGGAGATGAAAGAGATGGTACGTGAATGTCATCAAAAGCTTATCTTGGAATCAAGCGCGACTTAAAGTTTCTGAAAAGATTGATTTTAATCTCAATCTATTATCAGAGAGAACGATGGAGTCAAACGTAGGCAAATTGAGTTTGGTGTGGAGACTAAAGGCAATTGCGTAAATTTTTCCAAATTTAATGGAAAAATCTTTGCTTATCTGGTACTGGATGTTAGATAATCAGGCTGATGACTCCTCAACTGTAGGTGAAGTTGAGTGTGATAATGTGTGTCATATGCATAGACGTGAAAATAATGCTGTGCTTTTGATGTTGTTGAAGGGAAGCATCTAAATGAGAATCAGCAGGTGCTTTGAGAAAGCTCTGAGATGGATGAAACAGGAACAAAAGCCATTACAAGTGATACTCTAGTTATGATTAGCTAGCTAAGAATGGAGCCAGTAAGAGGTAGCCTACCCATTTGGAGCAAGTTGCCATGATAAACTATGTCCCAGACTAAAGGCAGGTTGAAAAGTGAGGGACAGTTTACTTTTGTTGCAGTCACGTAGGGTGACATTTGTGACCTAAACGAGTGATTTCAGTCCTGTGACTGTGTGAAAACTTGGGAGGTATTTAAACTTTGGAGTCCTGGGAAAAATAGACTTGGGAATTTAGCAAGCATTCAAGGAGTTTGGAGATCAAACTGAGGTTGGATATGTGATACTTGTTTGGAAGAACGATTTTTTTTTGAAGAGGCATGTTGATGCAAGATTTACAGGAGAAAAAGATCGTACGTGAAAGCAAAGAATCATTTATTGCATCACCTAACAGGCTGTTCATGTGGTCAACAGGTTGTACTTTCTCAACATTATCACCAAGGTATTTATGCTGTAATGCGTTTTTGGTTAACGTAAATTGGCTGTAACATGATTGAGTAGTGGATGCTGTTTGGATGAAGCAAACTTCCTACTGTACAATATAGTGATTTTTCTATAACAATTTTCCTGTAATTCAATTTTCTATAGTACAAAGTCGCACAAGAATGCAACTGTCATATTATAGGAGAAATATCTGTCAAAGGTTAGTCTGAGAGTATATTGGCAGGTGTAAGAAAAACTTAATAACCCTAAGATTTCGGGCATCATGTGGCTAGGGGAGGAGAATTTGAGTGTTTGGCTTGGTGGGCTGGGAGAAAAGAGGAACACGGCAGATGCAACTGAATTTATCGTCTTGGTCTTAATGGTAAAGAGGTCCATGCACTATTTGTACTCCATTTTAGAGCAGTGTAGAGTGGATGGGAGAGAGATTTTAAGAAGTCATTTTGCGGTGGAGAAGAAACTTAGACCCTAATCTTTACTGTGTTAATGGTTCCACAGATCTCTTTCTTTTTTTTTCCTCTCTTCCTTTTGCTGTATCCAATCCAAGCTTGTTTAAACAATGTTTCCTGCATTGTCATGATCTAACTTTGAAGAATGCACTGATAATTGTGCCGGACTGTTCTGCAAATCGTCACAAAATGTAATAACTTGTGTGTTTGCAATGAGGCCACCAAAGTGACCACTTTGCTTATCTGGTTGCCCCTCCAGGACAAAAGCAGTTTGAACTATCTTACTTCACTAAGAGGAAAAGTAATACTAATTTTTGTAACACACTTAACTTGATAAAGAACAGTGAAAAGAAAGGATTTCTAATTTATACAATTTAAGCTATACCCCTTCACGACCTCAAGTGTGTGCACACAATCAACATTAAGACAGGTGAAAGACAAAAGTTTTAGCACACATAATGTGGATGGAAAAGAATGCAGACAGGGTAAACAAAATTCTGTAGATCAAAAATTCACAGTACGAGGTAGAACATTACTTGGCTTATTGTCTCTCTAATTTTTGAATGGTGAGTCGCTGACTACTGTAGGGTGACCGTCATCCTTTGATTTGACGGTTGATCAGATGAAGTTGTGTGCTTTCTTGTATGAATTGTTTCTTTTAAGCTTTTTTGGGTTTTCTGCCATATTCTCTGAACAGAGACAGATGGATAGGAGGGATGGCAGGGGTTGGTGAGGCTCTGTGTGCGCAGGGTTTGAATGTTTTTCACACATGCTGCTTTTGGCACTTGCCGCTTTTTAACACTCTGCAGTTCAAGCAATCAGAGGACTGTTGTTAAGCAGAATTTTGTTAATTCAAGAGAGTCTTGGTGCTGTTCAATCTCAAATTATCCCTCTTAGTTGATTCCAAAAAGCAGGATTGTATTGCATGATTCAACAATATACAACACTTAATTTTCAAGTTGCAAAACTTTCCTGGCATTCCAGTTATAGCAGTCGACCTTCCATTTCAGTTTACAGTCCCAAAAAATGAAGTGTGATCTCCTAGAGCCTAAAACACACACACTTAACATACATGTGCAAATCCTCCAGAAGCAGTCAGCACAGTGGGTTGCTTTTGGGCCAAAACTTAGCAACTATTCTACAAGTTGTTTGAAGTTTGATGTTTAATGAGGTTAACCGCTGACTAACTCATCCATGCAGATTAGGCAGGCTTTAGCTGTAAATTAAAAGCAGAAATTGTTGGAGAAACTCGGTAGCTCTGGCAGCATGTATGAGAAGAAAGCAGAGTATCAAGTCCAGTGACTATAGCAGTTAGGAAAGAATGGCATTTGTGGTGAAGATGGGGATGGGGGTATTGGTGGGGCTTGGAGAAAGGTGAACGGATTGGTGGCGAAGGAGCCCAAAGGGAGAAAGAAATGAAAAGGGATTGGCGGACAAGGGGAATATTGCTCGTGAGCCAGGACAGAAAGGTAGCTGATTAAATGGTAATGAGGGCTAAGAATATGAGAGAATGGTTGTCATGACCCTGTCATGACGGGAACAGGGTGTGGGGATGGGTTAGATTTCTTTTTTAACTGTAAAGGCAATGAACTCCGTGTTGAGCCCGAGCAGCTACAGGGTCCTCACGTGAGAGATGAAGTGGTGTTCTCGGATGGGCTGAATGTTCTTCTGAGGGCTCGATGCAGACTCGATGGGCTGGGTGGCCTGCTGCCACACTGTAGAGATTATATAACTAGGGATAGGCAACAAATGCTGCAGCCATTCAGCGACGCCCATGTCCCATGAGTGAATAGAAAAGATATAATAAATATTCTGGTCACCCTGTTATAAGAAGGATATTACTAAGGTGGAACGGGTTCAGAAGAGACTTAGCAGGATGTTATAAGAGGAGACTGGAGAGGCTGGGACTTTTTTTTTCCACGGAGGTTGTGGGGTGGCCTTATAGAGGTTTATAAAGTAAATGGTAATGAATAGGGTGAATGGCAGTGTCTTTTCCCTAGGGTGGAGGATTTCAAGACCAAGGGGCACATTTTTATGGTGTGAGGAGAGAGATTTTAAAGGCATGAGGGGCATTTTTTTTTTTTTACACATAGTGGTTTGTGTATGGAATGAACTTTGAGGAAGTGTTGGATGTGGGTTCAATTGCAACATTTAAAAGACATTGGGAGAAGTCTATGAACAGGAAGGGTTTGGAGGGATGTAAGCCAAGCACAGGCAGGTGGAACTAGTTTAGTTCGGGATTATGGTCAGCATGGACTGGTGGGACCAAAGGCTCTGTTTCCGTGCTGAATAACTCTGACTATTTGAAATCTCTTCCTTCTATCCTGATGTGGCTGATGTCAACTCAAAAAAACAATTGGCTTCAGTACTTCAACATTCTTGAAAGGAAAATAGTGTGTGTTTGCCAAATGATGACAAGATCAGGTTCACCTATGATGTCTCTGCAGTCAAATTATCTACAAAAATTTCAACAAATTTCATGCCTAATCTTTTGCGTGAATTACTATAGGAAACTGATGCATTTGGAATCTTAGCATCCAAGATTTGATTGCTAATCTCCCAAGTTATTTTTCCATTTGTGTATACTGCAGTAAATAAATTAGGAGGACAGAGGATGGATATCTAGTTTAAATTGGTGAAGTTGGATGATGTTTCGATGGTCAAAATCAGTTGTAACATGGGCTTGCCAATTATTGGTCTGCTATTCAGAATAAAGATTTCCCATTATTACATTACTGTTGTATTTCATGTTTTTCTCCCTGCTCATTGAAGAATAAATATTTATTGAATCTTTATCCAAAGGAGCCAGAAACATCTATCATCAGTTGTTTATGAGCAGCCTTCTTATGGATCTGAAAAGCAAAAAGCTATTTGCTGTTCGATTTGCAAAAGTAAGTGCAGCAATGAATTACAATGTGTCATCATGATTTGTATAAAAATTGCTTTAATCTATTTGCTGAAAATTTTATTTTTTGTTTGTCTTCACATTGTGCATTTGGCTTTAGCTCACTTTTTCTTCCTTTTTGTTGTTGTGTAACTTGTAAGAAGACTTTTTTTGAGGTAATTAATCAGCTTTTTATCTGTTGAAATTATGTACACTTCTTGGAAGTGTATCAGAAAAATAAGATCTGTATCATTTTGTGATGATAATACTATGAGGTAGATGTTCTCAGTTTTTGCTTTCCTGTGCATGACGATTTCAAATACAAAAGCCATATTTGAGTTTTCGGATAAGATGGCACAGAAGCAGATAGTTAAAGTGTGTTTATCACTTGATTAGTCGATGATTGATGCACTTACACGTCAACTGACTGAATCAGGTTCCTATGATTTAAGTTTCGTGTTTCCAATTTAATGATTGTTATCACATTTTCCATTTATTTTGTACTTCAGTAATTGATTTCGGATGGAAAATTTGTGTTTTAAATCACAATGGTGTGAAATTCAGTCTTTCTTTTCAAAAGAAGTAGACGTATATAGGGTGTTTCGGGTGTCACACTGGTTCATTCCTCTCTGGTTTCATCTCCTGGACTTGAGTTTGAGTCCAGCTATTTTGATGGAATGAAAGAACTCTCTCCTGACTCTTTGGCCTTTGTAGTCCTGTACAAGTTTTTTGCTAATCAAGTTTCTCAAGGGTTCAGCACACAGCTCCTGATAGGTTGGTTGTCTCACTCAGGTCACAAGATTCACTGATATGAGAAAGTACAGAAATGCATCACATCAGTGGTGTTCTGTTTAATTTTCCTTCAGGCATGCAAAGCCTGACTTGACTGCCTGAAGTTGACTCTGGGTAACGAGTTGATTGTCTCCCAGCAGTGAGATTTTTGAGGTAAACCTCCCCGTATACCCGTTCAAAAAAGCATACTCTTTGACTGGGTGCCTGTTTTGTGAAATTAATAAGACTTGTTGTGAAATTAAGACCCGTAAAAAATGATGGCAAATGCTAAAGTTTCATGCATTTGAACTCTAAGTTTATTTTTGAAAGTGCACGTAACTTCCTTTGCTACTTCTAATGAAAATTTTACGGAAGGTATTTGCCACTCTACCCTTTTAGGCATGGAACACTTGATAGATAGAAATAGAATCAATATTTAATTCTGAGACAGCCTGGACGTGACCTGCAGGTGAATTTATCTTGTTGTTTAGAATTACCCGCAGTTGCAGAGAGATTTTATGGAGGATGATCACGAGCGGATAGTATCAGTGACCGCTCTATCTGTCCAGCTCTTCACTGTTCCAACTTTGGTGAGTACAATGTGGTTTTTATTCACTTCATTTGTCCACCTCCTTGCCTCTTCTCTGCCTTTTCATTAGAACTATGAGAGATTGCAGACTGACTATGTGAATGATGACCACAACAAAGAGTTCTCGGTTACCGACCTTTCAGTGCAAATTTTCACAGTACCTTCCTTGGTGAGTAATCAGATTTCAATGACTAAGGATGTGATGTCTTGGTCACATTGTTATTGAAAATTTGTCTTCTGTATTGTTTCTCAGTAGATCGAAATTAGGAAAGCTTCAGGTTCGCATTTCCTTCCATGCAGTTAGAGTTGCTCTGAGTTGGGTAATTGATATCAGGACTTAATTGCAGTGGAAAGCTGGTAAGGAAGCCCAGTAGTGATGGTTACTCACTAGCCCTTTCTGTATAAATTCATTAGATGAAGAAAGGATCAGTGTTGTTTCACATATGTCCCAGTGTGTTGATGGACGTTGTGCTGAGACTTAAAGAACAGCCACCTGGACAAGGTACAGAAATTTACCATTTATTCCATACTAATAATTCAATACCTTGAAGAGGGTCAACTATGGAACGGGAAGGCAAGCTTCTTTGCAAAACATTGCCTCCATCTTTGAAAATCCTTTTGAAGACATCAGCTTGACAATGATTTTGTTATTTCTCAACCTGTCAGGAAGGCTTGGCAACCAATTTTCTGTGAAGCTCATTGAGACATCATTTTCTGCACCGATGGTGCAATATCAATACAGTTCAACACAGGACTTCAGACTTCAAAACAACAACTGTACCAGAATGCACTGTTTTGGTTGTTTTTTTGTCTCCACATTGGAAAAAGAAATGAAGCACTGCGTTCTTTGCATAATGAGCAACCAATGCATTTTGATTTGAAACAGGCTTGACAGGCTGAATGAAATGTTCTGTGATTTGCCTTTTATGAATTGCACCATAGTAGCATCTAGCTCCATTTGAAAATTATTTCTGAGAAAACACAATGAGAGGGCTAATGTTGCATTGAAGCTCTTAAACAGAAGGTGTTTGCTGTTTGTCTGCCTACCTTTTCTCAGAAGGGTAATTTTGCCATTACATTGTGGTGCTACAGATTGGAAAATTGAGTCTCTCTCAGATGTAAAGTAGTTAGAAAAGTTGGCATCAGTGGTCTGAATGGCCTTTTCCCATTCCAGTAGGTTTGTGCAATGGGTTTAGCACCAGAGAAATCAAGGGGATGGACACATCTTTTCATTGCCCATGAATGTTGCATAATTGCAGAATTGTATAGAATCATAGAGTCACACAGCACAGAAACACCCTTCGGTCCAAGCAGTCCACGCCAAACATAAGTCCAAACTAAACTAGTTTCGCGTGCCTGCTCCTGGCCCATATCCCTCCAAACCTTTCCTAATCAAGTATCTGTCCAAATATTTTTGCCAGGTAGAAATGTGATAGATAATGCCTCTCCCTGCTAGTGCTTAAAATGAAGCACATGCACATTTTGCTGCAATAAATTTAATCTGACGTGTGTCCGTGCACTCCATCAGTTTATCTACATTCTCCTGAAGTTTAACACCATCCCCCTCAGAATTCACTATATTTGCAACGTTTGTATTTTGTGCAAATTTTGAAATTGTGTCTGAATACCATATAGACAGCATTAATGGCAGGTCAAGAAAGGCTGTGGTCCCAGACATGAGCCTGGGGAACACCACTAACAGCCTTCTCCCAGACTGAAATAACAACTGCTCACAACTGTTGCCTACACTCAACCAACTTTGCATCCACACTGCAACTGTCCCACATAGCAGAGTCAATTATGCTGGAATTCCTTGTGATGTCCCTGATGTTCAACACAACAGCTTCAAGTCTTCACAAGTTTTGAGGTTCCAATGCACTGTCCTGGAATTCCTTGCATTATGTAATGACACTTTGGTGATAAACTTTCGTATAAGACATCCGCTGCTCTGTTTTTGTCAAGAGTGAATGAAAAGACAAATTATGTGGCTTTCGATAACCATTTTGTAAGATTTTATTCATTTTAAACTACCGCCTCTTGGACTTTGACTTTGCATTGATTTTAGAGGAAAAAGCTGCTGAAGAAGTACCGGATTATTGCCACTGCCATGCACTTCGCTGACAAGAGTGTATCCCTAATTGGCTCCAGCTGTCCTCTTACTGCCCTTTGATTAGTATCACAACGAAGAAATTTTTGGATTTCCTTCGGCATTGGCTGCCAGTCTCTCTTCGTAGTCTCTCTTTACTGCTCTTATTTACTTTACTTCCCCTCAGAACTGTATATATTCAGTCATGTTCTAACTTTGTATCATCAATCTGGCATCTGTCAGACTCTTCTTATTTGCATCATCTGGCTAACTCCTCCTTTATCTTAGCTGGAATGTATTGCCCTCTCGTTCCCCTTTGTGGGATACATCTCAAATCAATTCAAGGCAGCCTCATTCCATTGAAGCTTTTCCTCCCAATTTGACCCCAATTTACCTAGGACTGATCCATTTTTTGATATGTTTGCATTGTTCTGACTATATGGTGAGAAAAATCAATTGGTTCTTCATTTTATGCCTTACCATATTATTCTTAATGCAAAAGCCTGCTCTTTGATTCATGACTGGTCCATTTGGGCATTGCCTCCGCATATTTCTTTGCCCATGAAGTTGAAAAATGTGCGTTTGTGCAATTGACAAAGATTGTCAAATCTTAACAATCTTTAATGATGCATGACAAATTGACTTTCTCATTAGTTATTTATCACCTCTCTTCACATCATTTGTTGAGGTTTTGGTTCATGTTTCTGCCACCAATTCTACTACTATTAATTTGTGGGATGTGGACTTTGCTAGCTGGGCCAGTATTTTTTGGCCATCCTTAATTACCCTGGAACTGTGTGGCTTGCTCGGCTATTTCCAAGGTCAGTTAAGAGTCGACCACATTACTGTAGGTCTGGAATCACAAGCAGACCAGATGAGGTAAGGATGGCAGCTTTCCTTACCTCAAGGATATTAGTGAACTATATGGAAATTTATGACAAGTGTCTATTAGTCTCGATGTTTAAGTCCAGATAGTTATTGAATTTATATCTGATCCTCTGGCATGGTAGAACTCATATTCTAGAACATTAATCCAGGATGCTCGATTACTAGTCCATCAACATTCACGTTATGCCCTCACCTCCCCATTGATTTGAAAGAAGCAAAAGTGAACATTCAGTTCACTAAGCAATTCTGTGTCTGTTCCTTCAGTTTCTCAACAAATTTTGGCTTGGCATGCAATTTTTACATTGCTATTATGCTAACCATTTTTGTTTTAAGGTGGGAATGACTGGTCAGCATTGAATGTTTTCCCCTTCAATTCATGAATTCATTGGGAAACATGATTGTTGCATTAAATCAAATCATTGTATTTCAGGCTCGCATGCTGATAACTGATGAAAACCTTATGACAACCATAATACAAACATTCATGGAGCATCTAATGAGACAACGGGATTCTCATGGCAGGTTTCAGTTTGAAAGGTATACAGCTGTACAAGCCTCAAAATTCAAGAGGGTGCAAAGTCTCATTGGTGATCTGAAGTAAGTATGTGAATTTAACTTTAAAAATTATAATTCTGTATGGATGACTGGAGGGCCTACTGACTGCCTCCAATCTGTTCATTAAATTTACTAATTGTTAGATGACATTTACATCAAGAACTAGCATAATGCAAACTAATGAGTGTTTTCAGTTTGACATTAGCATCACTAGAGCAATTTTTAAAGTTGTGGTCGAATTTGACAGTTCTCTACTAACTCAATGTCTAGGGATTAATTCTTGAAGTAAGATTATAGGAATGAACTTCTAATGAGTGATATATCTGATTTTTTTTGACTTAATTGGTATAGGTCTGATGACTCATAATTGAAAGTAACATATTGGAAGCAAGCTGCTAGCTATAATTTGCTTTATTTTTGTACTTTTGTTACAATGCAAGGGTAAAAATGTCTTGCTTCACTTAGAACCTTGGTAAGACCGCACTTGGAGTATTGTGTGCAGTTTTGGTCCGTGTAATTAAGGAAGGATCTACTTGCCATTGAGCGAGTGCAGAGGAGGTTCACCAGACTAATTCCTGAGATGACAAACTGTCTGGTGAGGAGATCTTAAGGAAACTGGGCCAATATTCTTGGGAGTTCACAACAATGTGAAGTCTTCTCGTCAAGGCTTAGAAATCCTTGGTGTGGTCCAGAATCAGGGGACATAGTCCTGAATGACTTACATTTAATTCTGAGACAGAGATAGAGGAAATTCTTTATTTAGTGTGCAATCGATCTTGGGAATTTTCTAGCCCAAAGGACTGTGGAAGTTGTACTGTTGATTATGTTCAATACAATTGAGTGGTTTTTAAGGAATGCGGAGGTAGCATGGGGAAAATTGTGTTGAGATTGATGTTGAGCCATGACCGAGAATGGCCAAGCAGGCTCAAGGTGCTGAATGGTTTAATTCCGCTTCTTTGTTCCTATGCATACACAGAGTTACATTAATGTCCTGGGGTGACTCTTATCTTGTTTACGAGATTGGTCACAGTGAAAGTCCCATTAAGGAAAATGAGGCTGACTTGAAATTGGAAGTTCTGTTTGGATCACAGCCTCACTTCAGTTCCTTTTGACTTCTCCTTGTGATCCCTGTAAACTTTCATTTCACTGTCGAAGGACAGATGTTGGGAGGGCAAAACAAAGTCCATTGTAGCATAGAAAGATATCTCTTTT